GCGCAACACCCAGGATGGCAATAATGCTGACATTAGATGGGCGGGTGCGACACTGAGGGGCGCGATCCCGTTACCGGTCACGAAAAAAGACAAAAAGGAAAAAAAAAAAAAGATGCTGTTTTATGACAAATAAAAGTATTACTCACTGGGAGGTAAATCCATGTGACATGCAATCAAGAAAAGTAGTACAAACTGAAAATATACATGAATTCAAGATTGGTTTAATTCCATAGGTCATAGAGCCATAGCAGGTTAGTAAGACGAGGTTAGATAGATGTTTGGGGCCCATGCCTGGCCTTTCACAGTTGTCTTCCCCATGAATTAACCAGCCTTTCTTGTACAGCCATGGCCAAGAGGCCAACGAGGAGGTGGAAAGTAGAGTGAGAGTCACCAAAAAGCCACCTGCATATGTTAAAGAAGAGGAGAGATAAAGGTGATGACAGACAACATGAGCTTGGGGGGACATTCAAACCACAGCAGCCTCCCATAGCACAAAGCTTATGGCTCTGTCCTTAGGAGGGTGATGCTACCCAACCCAGGTCTCAGCACCAGTCTCAACCTGAAGGAACCCAGAGGCAGCCATGGCCTTTCTTTTACTCAGATGAACTACAAATGCAGATGGGAAAACAGGAAAGCAAGGCTTCCAAAGTCTACTGACAAAAGAACCTGGAATCTTACAGTCTCTGGTTCTGTCATCTCCCTAAAGGATCTCTCTTGGGAGAGTCTCATTTGAAAATGGAAAAAGTCCCCCAGCATCCCCCAGGCCTATAACATTCAGAGCCTTTATGGGGACAATCTGCCTTCTGAAGGAAGCAAGCAAAGCTCTCAATTTTTAGGGGTCCTTTTCCAGCACAGTTTACTAAGCAAAAATTTCCAAGTGATTCACTGCAGATCCATGAACAGTGAGGCTGGTGTCTTTCATCTTTTCTGCAGACAGGAGAGACAGAAAGAGGGGAACTTAATGAAGTTAAGTTACAAGTCCATAGTCACTGTGTTGATGACTCCTTGTATTTAGAAGAACTTCTTGGAACTGCAAAATGCTCACAGGGTAGGGCACTGTTTTCTGCAATTATCTTTAAGGATGGGGGTTTTCAAATAATCAAAGCTGGGGACACAGGAGGGTGAGCTCCAAGCTCCTAAATGAGAACCATAAGAGGTATACATCTTTCTATCCCCCACCCCCAAATGACCACAGCCTCCTCCCTGCTCTTCCCCCAGAGCCCAGAAACGTGAACAGGGGCAGAAAGCCTCTCCCTCTGCCTAGTGAGTCAGCCTTGCCTAACTTCATGCGTAAGCGCTCCTTAAGACAGCGGCGGCTCAGAGCATTGGGTCTGTGTGCAGCCGAGATAAATTTGGGTCTAGAAGGGATGACGTAANCCGCCCCCTCCCGCCCCTTTCTCTGACGCCTGGGCAGTAGAGTCCCGCCCCCACCCACTGCACGCCGGGAGTCGTAGTAGGCACGCCGCCTCAGTGCGCCTGCGCGCTGCAGGATTCCGCGATGGCCTTTGGGAAATGTAGTCCCGCTGGGCTTCTCTCTCCAGGGTAGAAAGACTAAGAAGTTTCTGGGGCTACGCTGCTGGAAGGGAAGGATTTGAGCGAGCCGTGAGTGTACGCCTTGAGAGGCTCATTTCTCAGCGCCTCCCTGCGGATGCCCAGGGGCTGGAACGTTCATTACCCTAAATGCCATATTCCAGTCCAATACTACTACTTTCTCATGTAACTTCTGTCCCTCAATTTCCTCATGTGCAAAATGAGGAGTAACACACCTGCACGGACAGCACACACAAAAACACTTGAAAAGCCAAAATCTCTGTTCAAAAACAAGAGAGCATTTCATCAGAGCTAGAGAGGGCTGCCATGAGGCCCTTCTTCCACCTCAGCTTCCATACAGACAAATAGGTTTTGGGTTTTTTTTTTAATCTTATCTTTTTACACTGTCTCCTCCCTCACTCCCTCACTAGTGCTTTTAGACGCTAGAAAAACCTCTCTGGTGCTGCAAGGGAAGAATGTAATTCAGTGGGTAAGTGATTTGGTGCTGGAATTACAGAGGGTTCAGTTCAAATCCTGACTCTGCTACTAACACTAGCATGGGTACTCTTCAGTCCTCATTTTCCTCATGTATACAATGGATATAATTACTCCATTTATCCAAGACGTTGAGAGTCTTCCATGTGACAGGCACTCTACTAGAGTTAATGCATACAGTAATGAGAGGAACAAACATGGACCCTGCTCTCTAGGAGTGAATATTCAGTAGGGCTTATTACGAAGATTGAATAAAATAATTCCAGTACTCAGTATATACTAGGCACTCAATAAATGGAAGCTGTGATGGTAATTGTTTCCTCTTGTGCTCTCTTCTGTAGCGAGGTAACTGAAAGCAGTGGCTAAAGAGAGCAGAGCTCACATTAAAAGACTGCCACTGGCTGTTCTCAATGCCATTCTTTCCAAGTCCTCCATCTAACGAGTCCACAAAGTCTAGCCCAGGGTTTCTCAACCTTGGCATTACTGATGTTTGGGGCAGGATTATTCCTCACTGGAGTAGAGGTTCTGTTCTGTGCATTGTAGGAGGTTTAGGAGCATCCCTGGCCTCTCTTCCCACTAGATGCCAGTAGCACGCTGCCACCCCTCAGGTGTGACAACCAAAAAGGCTTCCAGACACTGCCAAATGTCTCCTGAGACACAAAATGCCCCCCTCCTCCCCAGTTAAGAACAACT